TTACAGATAACAAGCCTTTGAAGTAGGATGTTCCGTTGTGCATTCATGCCTGAAATCCTCACTTTGTGTCATTTTCGATAATATATAGCCATGCCAGGAAGCATTATTGCTCTTTTGATTCTATTTTGTCCTCTCCGTGGCTACCAATATGACATGTAAATTGTGCTCAGAATGCTTTTAATTTTGCGTGAGACAAGATAGAAGGTTGAAAGTACCCAGGTCTTAGTAACTAACATTGTTATGAGCAATTTTTGAAGAGGCTTTTCGATAATTATTAAAAACAATAAATATATTTAATGCCCAGAACATTTCCTAGCTTTATGCTGGACTGAATTTTTTCTCTAAGTATTTATAATTATGTACTTGGTATGAGTTGTGGTTACTATTCCTGTATCACATAACAAAATGCTCACAATTAAACCAAAGAAAACTAGAGGGTGTTTTTAGACCTCGGGGTGTCCGGGTATTTTAAAACTTCCCTCAGAGGCATTGGGTGTTGGCTGCAGCCAAGGCTGGGGACTTTGACTGGGATATGCCAATGCTCCTGCTGGGAACAAAGCCAGAGTTTCCCAGCTAGAAGGTCTTGCATTTCTGCTCAGGTCAGACTGATCACCATATTTGGTGTCAGGAAGGAATTACTCTGGATTAGAGCAAAGGTCCCTTCCAGCCCTAGTGCTACCCCATAGTATGGCCTATGCCTTCCTCTGTAATAGGGGGCATGCCCCTCTACCTATGATCTCTTGAGCATGTACAGGCAGTCCTCGACTTAAGACATTTTGAGTTACAATGAATGGCACTTGCAATGTTTATAAATTGCCACCCTGTTTCAACTTTCCAATGTCAGTTTTGACTTTACAATGCTTGATCCGACACGACACCATGCCAGTGAGCAAGTTTGCTGTATCTTCCTGAAGAACGTCTCTCCAAACTTCCTTGGACACTTTCTTTAAGAAAGCAGACAAGACTCCAGAAAAACCTGCAGCCAGGACTCCTGAGAAAACTCCAGCCAAGAACTCTTCCAAAAGTCCAGTAAAGTCACCTCAAAGAAGTCCTTCCAAATCAATATGATTGTGTTTACAATATAAATACATTAATGTAGTTATGTTACTCATCTATAATTGACTGAGTACAAAACTCTGGGTTATATTTGGTGAAAATAGGGCATCGGGCCTTGGTTCAGAAACCAGTCCCCCATTGATAACATTGTTCCTATGGGAAAACTGGTTCCAAGTTACAACTTAAGACACGGTTTTCAGTATCCAATTGTGTCATAAGTCTGAGGACTGCCTGTATTGACAATATTTTATAGAAGCAGAACACTGGCACTGTAATTCCTCTGCTTTACCAGTGGCAGGTTATGGTGTTAGGACTGTGTTGTGTCAGGCTTGGTGGTAGTCTTATGCTGAGTTTCAATTATGGATTATATAGGATGGTTTGTATAGGGATGATCCTGCCTCAGGAAGGTGGTTGGATTAAATGACCTCTGGAGGTCCCTTCCAGCCCTAGTGATTCTATGATAGACAGCACAAAAGGGCAATCAATACACAACTTATCTGTGGCATGTTAAAAAAAAAACATTATCGTGCCATAATGGCAAAACATACCCCCATTCCATCTGTAGTTGACCAGAACATTATGCCTGATCGTGAGAGAGAGTTTTAGCCATGTTCATGACCTGCAGGACATATCATTGCAATTCACTATATCTAAGAAGAAAGCCACCCACTAGAAAAAGCCCCAACTGGTATGAAACACAGCAGTCCCTTAGCTTAATAGTACCAGCTCCCATGAATACATCACCTCAGTGGTCTACTTTCTGAAATAACTTCCTAGCTCAAGCTCTACCTAGATGAAGTTAGCAAATCATCACCTCTTCCTTTCACAGCCATATCTTCTCTGTTGCAACTATTATGTTGCAAAAGAACAGAAATATGATGACAAAAGACTAGAACTAGTCAAATTTTCTCCTGGAATTTCTTCCCATTGGACAATAGCATTCAATCAAAATCAGAACAGTAGGCATGAATGTGACAATTTCAACAATCTTGCTTTTAAAAAAATGACATAAAGCATTCCAATAATGTCGAAATATTTTGTTCTGACAGTTCCAGAAAGCAACATTTTTCTTCTGAGTTTTATAATTTCCCTTACATTTTTTAAAAAGAACATCTTTCAAAATAAAAATCAAAACCAAGATTTAATTTCCATAGAAATAGGGTATTTCAATTATCCCCCCAAAAATTATTTCAAAGCTTTGGTTTGAAGAATGTTTAAGTTTCATTTCTTTATCATTTAGAACAGATTATTATTCTGCAATGAGGCAATTTCCAAGCAAATAAAACTCCCAGCTCTCAGCCAGCTTTACTCATGAGTACAGTGTTAGACTTTCACAGGACCTGTAACTAGATTATGAAATTCATTACTAGAAGATTGTCTCCTGGACCCTTCCCCCGGGAGCTGCCTGCTGCCAGGGTGGGCTCTGCCACCAGAGCCCGGGTGGAGACAATGTCTCCCCCGCCCCAGCAGCAGGGAGCTCCCAGCCCCCACTCTGTGATCATGGAGCCGGGACTGGAAGATAAGAACCTCCCAGTGCCCACTCCCCGATCACAGAGCCAGGGCTGGGAAGTAAGAGTCTCTCAGTCCCTACTCTGTGATCATAACCACGGAGTAGAGGCTGGGAGCTCCCTGCTGCTGGGGCAGGGGGCATTGTCCCTACCCAGGTGCTGGTGGTGGAGCCCATCCTAGCAGCAGGCTGCTCCAGGGGAAAGGGAGCAATCTCCTGCCCCCTGCTGCCCAGCTGATCAGGAGCACATTTGCTCCCAGTTAGCCATCTACACATGCTGCACTGTGCAGTAATTACTCCTAAGTAAATTTTCTACTTGTCTTTACAGGTAGCAAATTTACTCTGGATTAGATCAAATTACTGTGCAGTAAGCATCAGCACATGTAGAGGGTGACACTTACTGCACAGTAATTTACTCTAATCTCAATTAAAGCATCTTGTGTAGACGAGCTGTGCAATTGCAAAACTACTCTGACATTAATTTTTCCCCAGGCTAGATAGTGATGAATGCTTAATGTTAGCACAACACTTTGGAAATGCAAGTATATTCAATTATTAATATTGTGGTGGGTATCACCACATGACACTATTAAACACAGGCTTCAAAGATTTTTCTGAGTGTAGAAGAATGTGTTCACTGTTGGAATGTTTATAATTGTGGTGGATTTTTGTTCTGTAAAAAGAAAGTCCCTTTTGGAGAGAGAGCTGGATAAGCAATAGGAGAGTTTCTCTGCTGTGGGATCTGAGAAGAGTTAATTCTTGAGAATGATTTGATCCTTAGGTTGCAGGTGCTGCTACTTCATTTGTTTACTTTAAGTTCCGCCTTAAAATTTGCTTTTCCCATGATTCCTGTAAGAACGCAATAACGATTAGCATCCTGATGTGCTATGAATCCTGCATACTCTGCTGACCAATATTGCTTCATTGTTTCTTTGTTATCTACTGTCTCTCCAGAGGGCTGGTCCAATACAGACCAAAAATCCAACTTTTTAAGATCTTCAGAAAAACCATGAGAGGGGCAGATAAGCAGAGCAGACATTAACCCCAAGGTAGGGCTTTTCCCAGGGATTTGAAAAAAAACATCCATTCATACAATGCCCAAACAACAAACAGGAATAGACTCCTTCTTTCCACTGATGACCAACAGGATTGACTTGTGTGGGGACAGTTTTTTTGCAGAATCATATCTCTTTAGGCCCTAGCATGTGTTGAGGGAGGAATGTCTCATTATCTCTGGAAGATATTACCATAAATCCACCCTGGAACCTGGCAATCTTCATGATGGAAGTTCATCAAAACTGATACTGTGAAAAGTCTACGTTTCTGCGAATCATCATCCAATAAAAAAGAAATGCCAGAAAATTCTGACCTATTCTACAGAGAAGCAACACCGGTGTCAAAATGGGACATTGGTGTTGGAAGAAGAAACATCATCATCATCATTGCCTGCAACACACTTACATGACATGGTCAAGTATCTGCCAGAATTTTTCAGTATCATTTGGAGGTACTGAAACTTGTAACTTCTTTTGTGAGAATTATCAAAAAGATATCGGCATAGTTTGTTAAAAAAATCCTACCAAAATAGAAACTACAAAGACAGAATCTAGGAAGCTTCTTCTCACATGTAAGTTTAAAGAGCTGGTTACAAAGACTATGCCATGCCATGATTTCCAGACTCTGTTTGAGCCTTCTGAACATACCCAGGCTTTCAGTTTAACAGCTTGGGTATATTGGACCCTGGATATTATTTGGCAAGTTTCTCAGTTTGTGTCTATCAGCCTAAATTCACTGCCTTTAGTGGAAATACTCCAATTTGCACCAGCTGAGGCTCTGGCAATTTGTTTTCAGTACTGGGATGAAAAGCTTCCCAGGCTAGCAAGGAAGAAACATGGATACATCATCTCAAGATTTTGTTTTTAACTTTCTGTGGTTGATTCTTTCCTGTTACCAACTTTATTTAAAACCCTTTTTCCTATTTCTTAGTAGCTGTTGGATTAATGTTGGTTTCATTCCTCACTGTCACTGCTAGTCTTGTGCAGACAGACAGATAGGCATAAATATATGCATACATGTTTCACTATGTTGTGGTTTATTACTTCCAGATGTCTCCAACTTTCAAGGAATCCTTTGTTGCCTAGTCCATCAAATTCTGCAAACTTGCTGCTAAGTATTGCAATTCCCAGGTGAGTTGGCAATTCTTGGCACTGAATAATAACAACCCACAAGTATACTAGGATTTTAAATTTAGAACACAGGTTCTAAACAACTTTTTCTGGCTGACTGCCACCAAGGATAAAGTTGATTAAGGATGGTACTCTAAAAAGTAATATAATATATAACTTATTTCAGCAGCCTCAGCATTTTCCACATAGCTATCTGACCTTTCCCACTTTCAGCAGAAGTGGGTACTAATAACTATATACTAAGCAGTAAATCAGTCACAAGTTCTGATGACCAACAGTAGAAGAGAAGATGTATCCCTAGTGGTAAATACTATGGATTTACTTACAGTTTTGATCACATAAATTTTGGATGATGACTTTGAATCCTTTGTAATGACTGTGCCTGGCCTAAAAAGTAAGAGAACACAAAATTAACTTTATAACTCCAGTGATTAATTTCTCTTCCTGGAAATAAAAGCCAGTACAATAAAATGCAGAGGTTAAGAAAAATCAGATCAGATTGTCATTTTAACAGCTCCAAATAAATAGTATCATTATCTTCTATTGCCCCTCTTTGGAATTTAGACAAACAAAACAATCACTTAAATGGCAGTAAGCCATGATACATTGTATTCAAGGACAGTAAAGAAAAACATATCCCTATCCATTCTAGTTTTTTCTTCTAGGAAAGATGGGAAAATGAATGACTTGTAAAAGAGTTCCCTGCAGAATCTTTAGCAATCTCAGTGATTTGGTTCATTTCAAACTTAGGCCAAAACTTTCAAATGAATATATGAGACTGTTGACTTCAAGGGGAGCAGGAGCAGGAAGACAAGACCTCTAATTAAGTCTGCATTTTCAGACTTCCGCGTCTTCAGGTAAGCATGCAAACCAATGCTCAGTGGTGTTAGCAGAATAAGACCTGAATTCCACATGCCCTGAGCACCCACAATACTTACGAAAATTGAACAGAAGGTTTTGTGTTGTTAGCCCATCCAAAATCATGTTTGAATATGGCTTAAGTCTAACTTTTAACCGCCCCTCTCCAATATTTCAGAAACTACTTAAAATTATGGAGACCCATTTAAACTGTTTAAAATTATGGATACAATTGCTGTTCCCACTGTAATCAATGGCAACACTCCCATTAATAATTAAAGCAAGTGTAATTTGTCTGTCTGCTGTCGGTGGGAAAAATCATCATTAAGGGCAGGTTACATGTTAGTTTCTGAATGTCTGAACTGCGACAGTAGTCTCAATGGATAATTAGGATTTCCAGGAATGTATTCTGAAGGAAGACTTATTTTAGGAGCACAGGAAAGTAGGGCCAGAAGGGACCTCATGAGGTCATTTTGTCCAGCCTCCTGCTTTCAGAAATTCCTTAGCTGGAAACTCGATGGCTAAGACGACAGTAAATAATACCCTGAAATTCTATAGAAAATTCCTACACATTAAGGAATCTTCACACACACTCTTGGTAGATAAAAGCTATTCCAGTTTTGACTTTATAGTGAGATGACCTTCATCACACAAGTCAGGAGCAGAACAAATGAGCCCACGAATCTGACTCCCAGCTGTGCAGCATAATCTCTAGATATGGATGAGATGCTGATGGACAAAATGAGAACTCTGTCAATCTTCGTGACTTTATATTCCTTGTTGTTATTTGGGCACCTTTTAAACAGGGCAGAAATTGGGATAATCAATACCTGATTAAGAAAGATCAGATCAACCATCAGCTCTTCTGCTGTCTGTGGCTCAGCGAGAAATCCAAGATTTAATTGGTAGGAAAAAGAGATATGTCTTTAGCTCCTTCTAAAAGTAGAAGAAAACCAAGCAGGGGAGAAGGGGACCAAACAGAATATTCAGGGAGAAAGATACAAATATTGAAATTGACAGAAAAGGAAAAATATCACTAGAGCTCGGTATTCAAACTTTTTTCAGTAACTTCTTTTCAAAGTCGAGAAATAAACAGGCCTGACATTTATTCATTAAACTTCCTGCAAATACTAATAAAAAAAAGCTGCCTGTTAGTTATCCCTTTGATGGCAATAGCAAGATCAGTTAGAGTTGGTTTTATAAAGCTGAAATAAGTATGAAAGGAAAGAAAAAGACCAAAAGATTCAAACAAAGTAAATCTTCAAAAGACAAACACGATTCCACTACTGTGTCTACTGATCTTTTTCTCAACATGTTATCTTTTTATTCTTGGTATTTAACTGAAAGCAGAGAAGAGAAAGCACGATGTGAGGGTTTTTTTTTCCTTTGCTCTCAGGAATCTTCTCCTAAGAGCCTAGAAATTATTGCAGAGGATCAGACCTTTGAATGGAAGCAGCCAATAGTGACTGCCTGAGAGGAAGTGAGAATATTGCAGTAGCTGTACAAGGAATAATCTGTCCCTTATTTAAGGTTTTATTCAATGCTTATAATAAGAGATTGGCTTTAGCCCTGAAGAATGAGGTTTAATTTTCTTCCCAAAATGTTTGTAAGAATTAATTACAATAACTCAGGATATTCTTATTATCAATGTAAATGTTGAATCCCTTTTCAATTCTTGGAAAATTCTTGACCCCAATTACTTTCTGTGGCAATATAATTTCTGCAATCTAATTTTACAGGGTGTGAAAAAAAATTCTTCCTATCAGTTTTGAGTTCACTTTTTTTTTTTTAAATTACACTGAATGTCACCTTGTTCTGATGTTTGGGACAGAAAGAACAGAAGTTTTTAAATTTCTTTTTCACATATCAAACTTTATTTTCTATACATGTGTTACATCTGCTCTTACTATTGATTGTATATGTGTGTCCAATATAAAACAAGATAAAACATTAGAAGCAATGAAACAAAATTAGACAGAGTCCTGCAGGGAAGTGTAAAACTGGATCTTTATCTTGTGGTTTCAGTTGTGTGACATTAAAACATTTCTCTCACCTGATTAATCATTAATATTATGTCTTTTAGGGAAAACTCACATCTGTTTGAAATTTCTCATGTCTCAAAAGTATGGCTGGTTCTGAAATTTTCCCCTGAGACTTTTTTTGACAGAAAACTGGATTTTTAACTAAACATTTTTTTTGAGCTGGCTTCCCTGAAAAATTGTGATTTTGAATACCTCTCAGCCCCAAATATCTGAAAACTTGAATTTGAAAATCTTCATTGCCTCAGAGGAGTTTTTAGGGTGAATCTTGCCTTCTTTTTATGTAAGAAGCAAGAGTTGTTTGGTAATGTCTTTTATTCAATTAACTGCGTAGTTGGAAGAGATGTTAGATAAGCTTTCCGGCACAAAAACGCTATTCCTGGGTCTTTCTAGGGTTCACGAATGGCATTTTGTGCCTAAAATCTTGTCTAACACCTCCCCCTGCTCTACAATAAATACAATAAAGGACTTTACCAAATACATCTTGCTCTTCTGCACTGTCCCTAGACCATCACAGTTACATAATACTAAACGACTCTTTCTTATGGACTAAGTTCCCCTGCTATATTACACCTCCTGTGGCTGCATCTGCATGAGGCGTTGACTGAGCAGTAGCTCGTTACTACTGCGCAGTAACACCGCGTGGCAGAAAGCTTTATGTGACGCTACTACACAGTATTAAGGAGCTACTGCACAGTCAGTGTCACCTATAAAGCCATTCAGTGATGCTGCTGCACTGTAACTTGTTTTAGTACGCAGTCATTTAGTACTTGAAATGACTGCGCAGCAATGACTGTGCAGTAAGCAACTCATGTAGACATGGCCTGTGAGACATAATTAGGGTGACCATATGGGACAATGTGAAATCTGGGACATTGTCCTCTCCACACACACCCCTTCACTGCTGCAGGGAGAGGTGGAGGTGGGGCACCACTGATATTACTATTCAGGCAACTAAGGAGTCAATGGCCTGTTAATGACCCACTGTTTTCTTCACAGGTGTTAACAATCCCCTTTTTAATAGTCAGCCCACTAATCAAGCTAAACTATTAGGGCAATTTTGCTGTCTGCCAGGGCTTCTTATTTCATAGCTGCTGCTGCTCCTGCCATCCTGTGCCACACCCCAGGATGCTTGTTTTAATTTTCACTGGCAAGCTGGGATCAGACTCTGAAATACAGGACTGTCCCAGCCAATCCAGGATATATGGTTATCCAGGACATATAGACATAATAACTTTAATAGCTCAGCAAGATGGGAAACCAGGAAGCTTCATGGGAGATACAGTCCAGCCACAAAACCCACCACGCACAGAAATAAGGGAAATAAGGCACCTAAATGACAGCAATCAGGGAGGCACCAGGGTTACATTTCTTTATAACCAATTTTCTTTCAAAATCTATTCATTGGCACCAATTTGGATAATTTTATCTATTACATTAGTCAACAGTAATAAAATGTATTGAGAATAACATAAATGTGAGTCATTCCAGTGACTTCAACTGACTTCAGATTCAACCCCTCCGCCCCTTCCCCTCCCCCAGGGCTTGCAAGACCTGAAAAACAATAGGCACAGCATCAAATCCCAGTTTGGTACCTGTGCCCTGGGATAAGGACACCACTGGAACAATATCAATTGAAATAATTTACCTGAAGAAGGTCTGAGCACAAATTCTGGGGTTGCTGTAAGGCAACTTTTCAATTGGCCATCCTGAAAGAAGTTCAGTCTTGTGCAGGAAATCTATAAAATCTGACCCCTCAGTAGATTCCCGGCTCAGAAATACATTTAAGAAGTCCTAGGAAAATAAAGGAGTCTTCATTAAATGCTGAAAACAATGATCACATAAGAAATCAGTGGGGCTAACTGTTCTGTTTCTCAATGGACGTGGGTACATTCAGCACAACCCCTGGGGCAGGAGGTTACTATTGGCAATTTTATACGTGCTCCAATACGTTCTGGTTAGAACGTGTCAGAGTTAATTGAATCTGATGGCGTGCCCTCATCAAAACACTCCAGTGTGCCACAGCATCTCATGTATCCAGTGTCCCCGTGTTTCAAAATGGCAGCAGGGACACTTTTACTAACGCTCACCAGACGAGCTTTACTTAAAGCAACCCCTCTACCATTTTGAAATGCGGGAGGCTGAATACACAAGGCACTGCAATCATTTTAATCAAAGTGGCTCCTGAGTGCTGCTCTAATTAAAATGCCTTAACTCCGCCCCAGAGCACATGTATAGGTGCCCTATACGTCTCTGATACACCCAATCCAAATACAATGGTGTTTGCTCCTGGAGGGCAGGAATACACTTACTAGTGGCCAATACCAGGAATAAATCACTATGTTCTGCACTAGCTGAGCTCCTCTAGCCAGCAAATAGGGGTTGGTGGGGCTGAGGAATCTCATCTCCTAATCCCTTGGAGAATGGGTAAGGACACTAGTGGACCAGTTTATTCTTATGGAATTCAACCAAAGATCCAAGTCCTTCACATAATGCACAAGGAGGTGCACTACTTCTTATTCCTTGTATAGGTGGGTAACCCATGTCACACTACAGTCCACAGGTAAAAATGCTGCAAGGAAAAGATTTGGTGTTGGTATAACTCTTATTTTTCAGCATTTTCTTATGCATTTAAGATGAATGATAAAATATCACAGGGAGAGATAAGAAAATATAAGTCTCTTGAAAGGGGATGGTTTTAAGAATTAAGCAACACTAATTATTTAGCTTAGAAAGACTCGAGACAGAGAGTAGTCAAGGGCAAGATGGGGTGTTGATAAGAATGGTGCACATGTCCGTGTGTGTACATTGATAGGCTTGGCTCATTCCAGTCCCCACGAGTAGCAAGATACCAATCACACTTAGCTATTAGGTGTTTTGTCTATGTGGAATATGTTCACTTCCCATCTCCCTCTGCTTCCATGCCCAGCCGTCTGTGGGACATAGGAAATGGCAAGAGATAACAAACATCTCACTAGAAGACAGGAAGAGAATCTCTGTCCCCCAGGGAAAAAAGATATCATGCCCAGCCTGCTACTCATGGAAGGAAGATTTTTAAGATGCAAAATAAATGAACAGGTGAGGATGGGAACCAGGTTGCTTCTGGTGGGGAGGTGAGCCTAGCCTCATATTGCCAGCACAAGACTAATATGCAAAATTAATTCATCTTTCCTTTCTTCCATTAAATGAAGACAAAGTGTCAAACCACAAAATCAATATCTAGTAACATTCAAGCAAAAGGTATGGAAGGTAAAAAATCCATTGTTTCAGGAGATCAGAGTCTAATAGTGTAGCTGAGGTTTTAAGTATATAATTTTTATGACTGATCATATCAGTCACAGTTACATGTGCTAAGGGAAGTGTAATGAAATCTCAGAAAGGAATTGCTCCCTCCAATCTATAGCACTAGTCTCATGATTTATTGGGCAGGTGTTCTTGACCTGACTGCTGTGTGGGGGGAGGCAGGACAATGGATTTCATGAATCCGTAGTTTAATCTATTGTGTGACACTAAAGAGGAAGACTTCACTTTTCTGGTGTGTTCAAGTCACAAGCAACATATGCATAACAGATCAGATGGAGCAGAAGGCAACTCTTGCTGAGGGAATAGAAGGCCAGGACCATATCCAAACTACAAGGCTTATTAGTGGAACAAGCATACATCAAATCAGCATCTCCTGGACCTGATGGGATTCATGATGGGATGCTAAGCTAAGAGTCAGCATATTCTTTGGCATAGATCATAAAGTCATTAAAATCAGAGCTGCTACCAGAAGACTGGAGGAAATCTGGATATAGTACCAATATTAAAGAATGGAGAGATAAGGCTAATAGACCAGAACATTTGTAGCTATAAACATAGTGGAATGGCTCTTTTATTAGAAATAAGGTGGTTATTAAAATAAATTTAAAAGAGAAAAATGGCCACCACAAGGGAAAAAATGCTGATCACTAAGCAACCTGGTTTTCTCTCTGTTTAAAAATAGCAAATTCTCTGATAAATATTGCAAGTTCTCTGATTCAAAAACCCAAAATCCACATTATTCCACAATTAAAATGAAACACCAATATATATGTTTAGGTGTCAGTTGAACACAATGTTTTATTGATATATTTACAATTTTAAAGCACTTTAGAAGCCTACCAGTGCCTCAATCACCATAATAAAACAAATTCTAAATACCTATACATTTTGCTGTTTGATATTGGGTTTTCTATCATGGAAAATCAGACCTCCCCATGTCCCTTTCACTCACCAGGATGTGGGTTCAACTGCGGCATCCCCCCAGTTGCTTTGTGGTGCTGAGCAGCTCTGATATGCTGGTGCCTGGAGCTGGTCCGGCCCGGCTACAGCCCCACACCCCACTGTGCATGCAGAAATCTTGGAGAGCATGTGCTCCCCCACCTGTGCCCCCCACCAGCCTCCCAATCCATGGCCTGTGCCCCTTTGTTCCTCCCACATAGACTTACCTGGAGAAAGTTGAAGGAGCTGCTCTCCACCACTGCCTGGCTGCCACATACATGTGCATGCGCACATGCACATAGTGCACCTTGCCTCCAATCGCCCTCCTCCCACTCCCCGCAGGCCCAAGCAGCCCCTTGCAGGCTGGAACTCAGCCAGCTTGCAATAGAAAACCTGTGGTTTCCCATGTTTTTTCTCCTTTAAAAGAAAAAATCCACATTTTTCTCTGCTAAAGGAGTAAATCCACGTTTTCCCCTTTTTCCTCAACAAGCTGAAAACCTGGATCCCTGCTGATCACATGGCAGTTCTCAAGTCCTTTATTTTTTAAGTAGGCTGTCACCTATGAAAGCTTATGAAAACTTACGCATTTTTCAATGAGTTAGATTCTAAAATGCTACCCCATTCTGCCTCCTGTGACTCTGGTGATGGCTGGTAAATACTAACTTTGTAATTAATATCCTCCTACAAAAAAGTGGCAAACACAAGAAAAATATGTTCAAAAGGTGAGGAAAAAATAGGTGGGATGTAATACATCTGCATCTTAGTGAGGCTAAACATTGTATAAGGGTTTAACAGAAAAAGTCAAATTAAGGACTCTATCACTGAGGTCACCATCCAATGAGTAAAAGACTTCTATAGTTAAGAATAGTAGAACCACACTAAGTGAGAGGTAAAAGAAGTCTCCTTTACCTTCCTTCTAGTAAGTCTCCTATTTCAGCTCTTAAGAGGGAACCTTGCAGAAAGAAAACCAAAAGGTTTGGTACTGCATCCTAAGCCACGCCAGCTCTCACTGAGTAAAATGTGAAGCTGAAGAGTTAAGGGAAAACTTCTGTATTATGGTGCACAGCACTGTCATGAAGACAAGAAGTTGATCTGTGTTAATATATGCCTTTCATACCTTTTGACAGCTACTAGAATGGGGCAGATGTTGAGGGAAAATATATGCACAAAAGTGTGAGCAGGTTTATTACATTATTCAGGCCTATTGCTAACAGGAACCCTTATTAGAAGAAAAATGAATGAGCTAGTGACTGAATCAGCATCAATCATCCCCATTCCTATGGCATTCATAGAAATTATAAGGAATTTGGACTAGAAATAACTCCCAGAGCCAGAAATGGATACTGTACTGTTTAAAGGGAGGTTTCATCCAAACAAACTTGTTCTAATCAAGGTGTGAGCTGCTGCCTTTGTGAAATGTCCAGTGTAAACCTTAGGGCATCTTTCCCACTGGTTAATATGAATTATAGCTCTGCATGGCCACCTTCTGAGAACAGCAAATAGGGAAATATACAACCAGAGTCCCTTTGATTTTAAGGGCTTCAATACTGAAGGGGAATAATGAGATGCTATTTTCTATACATGGTTGTCTCCTTACATGCAGTTAGTTGCCCGTTATTCTGCTTATCAAATAACTATCACAGTCAGTGTCATGGCATGCTAATCTATCAGTAACTTAGAGTGTCACATAGTCCATTGATTAATGTAGACTGAGAACTACATCCAATGAAAGAGCAGATTATTTAGTAGCTGTCTATATATGGAGAGCACAGGAAGAGACATCAGACATTTCCCCGCTTGCAGCAATTAGGGTGGGAGGTAGTGGAGGGTAAAAGGTAAAGATAGGTAGAAAATGGGCTTCCCATGAAGAATTTCCAGATGGGTCTTGGGGATAGAGACACTCACACTCCCAGAATATCCAGCAGTCTCAAGGCTATCTATAATATGGAAGAGGAGGCAACGGAAACAGAGAGTTTGTACATGCTGCAGCGGTGGTGTATCCTGTCACAAAGGCAAAGAGTACCCCACTTCTGCTGGTCCACAGGCAAGATCCAGATGTGGAAGTTTTTCAGTAAGTCTTCTCTGGCCTTGTCCCCAGCACTTGCTGTCAGGCTTCAGTGCCTGACACTTGAACGCAGGTGCTGGGGATGAGTCCAGAGCAGCCTCATGGCCCAGAACAGCCGAACGTCTAGGTCAGGAGCATGGCCACTGGCTTAGGATGTGCTCAGGCCTTCCAGTACTGAGCCATACTACTGTTGTAGCCCTGAGTTTCTTGTAGCAAAAGTAAAGACCCCAGCCAATTAGTTATCCTGGAGCAGGTCTCTGTCGGTGATCAGAAATTCCACTGTAGATTAAACTTCTTTTCAGGTCCAAACTGGTGCTTTCCTTGGAAAGGTTTCAGCAGGGTTGACAGCACTGAAACTCATGTGAATCACGGTATTTCTGACTGGCATCTGTGGAGATCCCAGTGAATGCAGTAGCTTCCTAAATGCCATATTGTAGTATTCCAAGAGAAGCAAGGGCAAGATTTCAGTGCAATCAATGATGTCCAAGGGTTTGGCTTTTAGCGCTGATATTGAATGAAAAAAAAAATGTAGACACTCACAAATGATCACAAAACACAAATGCATTTTCCCAGTCGGCTCTAGGTATGTCCAGACAAAGAGGGAAATGTCATGGAGCTGAGTGTCAGACCTTGTTTTACTCAGGCAACTGAATCATGTCTTGGTCAGTCATGTCTGGGTTTCTATGCTTGTACAAGATCATACATGGTAGTAAGCATCCTCTGCTTGCCTCCCTGCATTGGTTTTATCAGCCCTGAGTCCACACAAATAGGAGTCACCTGCTTCTGAGTCTGCACCATGCACTGGTGGATGTGAAGGGAGTAGAAGATGGTGGGCCCTTTATACTAGGTCTGTAGCCTAAATGCAGTCCCATGGCAGAAAGAGAAAAGTGTCATATTAGTTTCTAGTAGCAGTCAGTAGTACATCATGGTCCTCTTGGGTCAAGTGCAGAACATGGAGGAAAGCAGAGCATCCAAACTACAGTGGTTTCCCTGGGATGCTCTAACGTGGCACCATAATGTCCATCCCCCTTCCTAACCATCACCAGTGGTCTTGCTGAAGTGTTCAGAAGCATATTTAGCACTGAGAGTAATTAGGAAATAGTGAGTTTTGTCAGGACAAAAGGCTGAACTCTGCTTAATTCAGAGGCTTACATCCAAAAATGGATTGTTCTGAACCAAGCACATGGAAGATATCAAATCCAAACAGAAGAAGCCAAATTCACCAATGGTTTAAGTTGGCACAGCTGCCAGGGAAGCCGAGTTTACAGTGCATTTAAGTAATAAACTATGCCCAATATATGTTGTGAAAGGAAAGTGCTACCCAGATGTTTGTCCTCCTAAAGATAACACAGCGGGGATAAGGATGCTATTTTCTGTCCTCCAAAATCAATTGGGAAGAGGAGCCAGAGTCAGTTGTAAAAGGAGGTTCTGAGTTACATCAGCATGCTGCTACAGAGACAAGGAGAACAGCAAGACAGCTTAGAGAACTATCAGCCTCAGTCCTGAAATTGTATATTAAAACATATTAAATGCCTAAAAACTAACATTCCCCAGAAGTCACAGCATCCCTTGGCAGCTCTCTGGATCAAAAACCTCCATCATATGGAGAAACTGGCCCGCAGAACTATCTCAGTACAATAATATCACTAGAGTCAATCCCCATGTAGACTCTTATTCTGAAATAAGTGCCTTTCCAGATCATTTTGTGTTTCTTTCTACATTTCCTTGTGCAGGCAAGCTTTTAGTAGAGATTTGCCCCTGGATATTTTTTCAAACTTGACAAGGATCACAGAAGGACTGTACTCTGGAACTCCACCGGCATTGAGATTGGCAGGCCTTCACCTCTGTAAACCCAAAGGGAATTCAGCTGCTGTGAGTGTGACTTAGGAGACCCTTAGAATTTGCTTCTGTAAGTTGAAGTCAATGGGAAAATTTCTATTAATTTTACTGGAGGGGGTGAATTCTACAGCAGTGTGGTCTATTTAAACTTCCTTAAACCCCCCTGAGTTTAGGATGCTCTGATGAACACCTCTGTAGGACATGCTCCTGAAGCAGAAACTAATGCATTTACAATTAGAGTTTGTAGGAACAAAACAGTCAAAAAGGTAGAAACTTATATCCAGAAGCATGTGATTTAGTCATATAGGCTCAGCCATTCCTGCTGAGGTCTCTATTAGCAAGGCTCATTCACTCTCACCCCTGACATCCCTACCTCCCAACCTCTCTTTAGGTGTCAGCACCTGGGTACGTAACATAAATACAAATGTTATGATCACTCATAAATTTACCCAACTTCTCTTTATATCCAGCCACAGGCATTGACCTTCTGCCCTCCTGTGACAAGGAATTCCATGGGCTGACTTTATGCTTTTATTGCTCTAAATTCAACCTGCCATTAATTCCCCAGTGGCCTCTTGTTCATGCCTTTCAGGGCACTACAGAAATGAAGTGCTAATCAGTTTTCAGTCCTCCCTCATAATCCTCGATACCCAAGTAACTCCCCTCCTCTGCTTCTCGCCCCCTGCTCGTACCCAATCCCCTGCAGATCTTTTCTTTTCTAGGCTAAATTCTACTAAAGCTTAATATGCCTGCAACTCCCATTACTGCATTTGGAAGGGGAAATACACAGCACCTAAAAGGATGAAACCCTCATCCTTAGTGTCTCTTATTATTTGCCAGCCCTGACATGTTCCTCTCTAATTTACCATCCCCTGAAGAAAGTCTGCCATAACTGGGCTGTGGCCAATTCCCATTTAAGTCAACAGGAGCTGCACACAGGCAAAATCTGACAATAACATACTTCAAAATGTTTCCCTGCCTCCTGGAATTGAAGGTAACCATTACTCTGCTTGCACAGCTACTACCTGCTGTGGAGTGACAGCCTGACGCACTTCTTATTCACACTAGCTTACATGACGCCAGGATCGGCCCCTAATCCATTGATGTCGTGGCTCATTGGCTAATATCATTAAGAACTTGCCATCTTAGCCTACCCTATTGTGTTCACTGGGGCTACTCATGGAATAAGGGAAAACTCCACATAACTAAGAGTCTCAGGATCTGCGCCCACCTGCTATTTTACACTTTTACAGAGCATCTGCAGCAATTACGAGACCAGTCTTGCAAAGCTTGCTTATGAGACGCATGCTGCTGATACCAACAGGTCTATTCCAGGACTGTTCACATGGATTAATGGCAGACAACTACAGCTTCTAATTACAAATTGAATGAGAGTCATCTGCTCACTGAATATCACCGTGCAAGGTGTTGTGCATCTCCTACAAACCACTGATTACCTTCATCTCCAAATGAAGCCAGCAGCAGTCCCAGGAGCTCAGGGCCTTGCAGGATTGGGCTCCAGGCAAAATAAAATGAAAATAACACAATTACACAGGGTTTCTCAGCTCAGGGAAAAAAAACTCACCTGTCTAGAAAGAGCCAGCAGGGAAACAGTATCATGACAGACTACTGTGGCATTTCTCCTAGCACCAGTCAAGATGGCAACATCCTAGAAAGAAGTTAAGCAATAGATGTGAATTATTAAAGAGGTTGCCTATAAAAATGCCTTTGAAAAATATAAGCTAAAATAAAGGAATATTGCTATCTATATATTAATGGAATAAATCACAGCTAACAGCCAAGTCAGAGCTGCGGGGTGTCAGTAAGCGGGAATCTCTATAATATAAGAAACAAACAGCCTGGAACTGTATGAGAGAAATAATAATATAATACATGTGCTGAACCCAAAGGGGTTTCCTCTGAGAGTGAAGTTTACTCTTCCGAGGTGAGAGCACATTGTCTTCAGGTATCTGGTAAGAGTATTTTGGGTTAAATACTTGGTGAGGGTCCTGTTTGGCACACTTGGAGTCTTAGCAATATCAGGTTAAGGGCTGCATCACCGTCTCCATTTTAAGGGCTGTGTTTAATGAAAAGAGCTCCCACACTGGAGAATTCAGGCCCAAAACTCAGTTCCCAGATATCACCACCAATATTTGGGGGTTGAAACTCCCGTATTTTTGTGCATATAGCCTGCGGGCAATACACCTTTTTACAAACTTGATGGTACTTTCTACAGCCCTCACAGAGCAGAAAGCATCATAAAAAGCCTCCTGCCCCAGCAATGGTGCTATTTAAGCCAATAAGCAATGCTCTGCCTGGTTTTATGCTCAAATTTTGCTGGGCCACTAAGTAATGTTTACAGGACAAAGGTCCTGTAAATTCTCCACTACTTTAATGAAGATCGAATGGTTTGCTAAATGATATGCTTCAGTTCAACCACACGTTGTCAAGCTACATGTAGAAATCACTAGATGAAATTCTGCAGCTGGTGTTATGCAGGAGGTCAGACAAGATAATTATAATGGCCCCTTCTGGCATCAAAGTCTATGAATCTATAAAGCTTCCTAGCTTTAAGCCTCCAGGCTTTATCTTTCCTCGTGACCACAAGGGAAATGGGAGCGTTTTTTTCTTGTTTGTTATTTATATAGCACCAAAGAGAGGAGGACCACACTGTCACACATTATCCTAACCACTCCACAACACAGGCTGGAACAAGATAAGGAATAAGACTGACTGGGCTGCCCTAAACACTTGTGAAAAAGGATAGAGGTGTGAAAAGGCAATATGGGATAGAGAATAGAGTATGGGCCTGGGGCTCAGAAGACGTGGTTTCTATTCCCAGATCAGCTTCTGGCTGCCCCACACCAGTGGAAATTGGATTTGCTTGGTTTTACAGGAGAGTGAGCAAAATTATCAATAATCATTTGAAAAGACTATTCCATCAGAAAATGCCGACTCCATGAAATTGAAAAATGTTTCATGGGTGCATATAGGTTTAATCAATTTTTAGGAGGAACTAACTGAAATGCTTCAACAAGTTAAAAAAAGGTTTTTTTCCAAACATTATTTCCTCTATCATTTTGATTAAATTATTATATAAATAATAACATAATAGTTGAAATAATGGAACACGATAAACTTCACAATATGTTTTGTTAACATGTCTGGGTTTGTTTGAATTTTCAGTCTATTTGGGGATGAAATGATATATTCCGTTCCTAGAATTTCGTGTGCGATGGAAATTCTTATCATTAGCCATCTTGTATGGTATTTTATTATATATTGCCATGGACTGTGAATCCAGCAAACTACAACTGATGAAGGGGAATGAAAACTTCCTGATTTTAGTATTAAAGCTGCTCACGAAATAGATTCTTTCTCCTTCCCAGGGCAAATATTTACAAAAATAAAAAATGTCAACCCATTCCAAAAATAAAAACCAAAATTGTTCCAGCCATCTAATACTGAAACATTTGGTTAGGGAAAAAAAAAACCCCAAAAGCATTCATTGGTGCAGTTTCCTACAAACAATTTTAAAAAATCCAAGGAAGGTAAATATAAAAAACCATAATTTATGTTTAGTGGAAATTTTTCAGCCACCTCTATTCAGCACACTGAATGCATCTCTTTTTTCAATATACAGAGTATATCTAGGGTGGAAGGGTTTGGGGTGATTTCTGGAGGTTTTCTCCCTTGCTCTAGGATGGTGTTAACCTTAATGGGATTTGCAAAAGCATCTTAATGAAACATATAGATAGGTATTTTCACAGGGCAAATCTAGAGAGGCTTTTAGAAGTTGGTAATGCAAATATACATTTCATTTTTTTGTCTGATATGAAGCTATCTGCAGTCAGTCAGACTCTCCCTGAGTTTCTATCAGATTCTGTGGCAAGCAAGTTTCTTTGGGTAGATGTGATATCTTTTCTTAGATCAACTGAGTAGTTGGAAAAAAGCTCTTAGCAAGCTTTCGGGTGCAGTCACCCTTCTTCAGGCATAGGGAGTCTCTGCTGTTCTGAGCCTCCAAGGACTAAGAGAAGCTAAAAGTGTAACAGGATGTCAGTGAGATATGCGATCCTGTAACATTTGGTAAAAACAAACATGAAAGAGAGTATTGAGGTACCCCAAAGTATCTCCCTTTCTTCAGAAAAGCGACCGTTCTGGCATAAAGCTCTCCAGTCTGTTGGTTGAGAGCCACCTTAGTGACTACAGCAGTGCCTGAGAGAATCAAATAGAAATTCTGCGGGATGTGGCCTTGCCTGATGATCACTCTTCCTGGCCCAAAACTGAAGAAGAAAAAAGAAAAAAAAATAGAAAAGATTTTAAAATAAGGGGAAAATTCTTGAATTTTTTCCAAACAAAACTCTCTCATTTCTTAAAAAACGTGGGCTAAGAACAGTTAGATGAACACCTTGCTGGGGTCATTTGACCCCAGTACTCTTTCCTGCCATGGCAGGGGGTCGGACTAGATGATCTACTCAGGTCCCTTCCGACCCTAGAAACTATGACACTATGAAACTATGAAACAGCAGGATGACCGCAGTTGTATTGTTTTGATGGCATCTTGAGGTACTTTCAGATGTCTCCCATACCATTGCAATACAATAATGTATACTGTACTGAAATTAGTAATTATGTTGCTTCCCAATTAAGAATAGCATTGTTAAAGAAAGCAAAAGGAGATAAAATGCAGAAATTGAGTGGGAATTGAAGATCCTCATATTAAAAAAATCTCTTATATCTGATTTTTAAAAATTACATAAGGCAAGATTTGTGGAGGTATTTAAGCATCTCAATCCCACACATGTAGCAGCCCAGATACCTGACAACTTTAAAGAACGCCAGTTTGGAGCTGGTGGCCAGGAAGCCTGGCACGTGCCTGGGATGGAGGTAGGTGTTGCAGGGAATCCAGCTGGGAGCTGAGAGCAGATGCAGCCCCAACCCTGCCTGGGCTGAGTCAATCAGAGCAGCTCACTTCATGGGGCAGGGAAAGCAGTGCTGGGTGCTGCAGACAGCCGACACAGCCCCAGCCCTGCCCCGATGCACTGTCTCCTTCCCCTGCAGGGAGTCGCGGGGGGTCTTTCCCTGCTGGCAGAACCACAGCTCCAGAATCTGCAGCAGCACACACCGCGGCACCCAGCGACAGTGGGCCACCCTGCATGCTGCACTCTGGCCTGCTCAACCCACATAGTATTAAGGCAATTAATGCAACATTAGTCTTCTCACCCCTCTTATGTCACCTTGAGGATTCAGGTGTAGACACGACCAGTGTTACTGTGCAGTAAAGCATCTATACATGCCTTACTGTGCAGTAACTAATTGAGCGTAAATTTGATACCTGCACTATCAAATTTACCCCCAAGTCGGTGTACATCACCATAGTTGCTGTGGAGTATGGGCATGCATGTGCAGATGCTGCCCGTACTGCTCAGTAATTTTTAGGTTCCTGTGCAGTAACTTAGATTACTGTGCAGTAAATGTGCACGTGTAGATGTGCCTACTAAAAACAAATTATTCTAGACATTTTAAATCACATCTTCCTGTCCTGAGACATTATGATGGTTCACAAATAAACACTTTACATATAGCGCCATTAGTATTTCACATAGGCTTGTTTTTTCAAAAAAACATTGAAATAGGAGCTGGGCACCAAACTATTTCTAAAAATGTTGTCCCTTAGGCTAGGGACAGAAGTTACATATAATCCAGTATAAGTGATCAAAAACTGATTCAAATCTGTTGCACAACAAAGGTTAGTGCACATAAACTTCTTTCAAAATGGCCGAAACAAGTTTAAGATAAACCTGAATGGATGTAGTATCAGAATTAACTAATTTAGGTTAAATTGCTTTATTGAACTTCTGTCCCAGATCCCCTCCAGATTCAAGTTAACTCTTAGTCCCCAAGCATCCCAGGATGCTTTGCATCTACCCTGCAAGCCCCACCTCACGGGGTAGGCTAGCTAGCCTTGGCTCAAACTGTCTGCTCCAGCCAAGCAGGGAGGCATGCTTTAGTAACTCCCCACTTCTGCTTGTGGCCTGGACCACTGCAGGCATGTGGCTGCATTTCCAGAAGCAAATGTCTGTTCACTTGCTTATCTGTTCAATCTACACCAGAGGTCCTCACACTGTGGTCCACGAACCACCACTGGTCTGCGAGCTCCATTCAGGTAGTCCGCAGAAAGGCTGCAGAACAATCAAGAATATCTGTACTTGTAAGGTAAGACCAATGATATTCAGTATGAGATGTGCACTTTGATTTGTAGAAGGAAAAAAGTATAAGTGGTCCGACAAGACCCTCAGCAATTTTCAAGTTGCCTGCAAAAAAAAAGTATGAGAACCACTGATCTACACAGTTTCGACTAAACTGGGAAGATTGAATCAGTTCAGCTTTGGGCTTTTTGATTGTCTGTACTTAGCCTTAATTCCTACAATCTCAGTGAATTAGGGTCCTAATTCATCTGGATGCATCTGAAACTTTTTCCTTTGGACAAGTTTAAAAATTTTAGCCAAAATATATAATCATTTTGAAACACCAGAAGTTTGTTCTGAGAAAGAAATCTGGATCAAGATCACTGTTATCTTTTTAACAAATGTCCTTCAAATCTGTCTTTACTTCCATAATTCTTCTAAATTTGTTCTGTTATGTACTTCACAGTGTAAAATACAAATCCATCCCCTTACCAGATTCTAGATTCCATTTTGCTCTACATAAGGCAATTACAAAATAAATGTGGATTAAACAGCAATAAAACCTTTCTGCTTTTTTTATTAGACTCATTTGAAATATACAAATAAAGCTATTACACCATACATAAATATTGATCTACACTCAAAGCTCCAGAATGGCTCAGAAGAGTCTAAAATTTGTTTCAAAAACACCCAGAAGAATGTTTTCACGGAGGCAGAAAGGGATCTTGGAGTCATTATTGACTCCAAGATGAACATGGGCAGGCAATGCAAGGTCACAGTTGGCAGGGCTAACTGGACCTTGTCGTGAATCCACAGGTGCATCTCAAGTAGGGCCAAGGAGGCGATCCTCCACCTCTACGTGAGACTGGTCAGGCCACAGCTGGAGTACTGTGTCCAGTTCTGGGCGCCGCACTTCAGGAGGGTGTGGACAACATGAAGAGGGTCCAGAGGAGGGCCACCCACATGATCCAGGGACAACAGGGCAGACCCTACAATGCGACTGCGGGACCTGAACCTGTTCAGCCTTCACAAAAGAAGGCTGAGGGGGGACCTGGTGATAGTCTATCAACTCACTAGGGGGGACCAGAAGGGTCTGGGTGAGACCTTGTTTCCCCTAGCACCCCCTGGCATAACAAGGAATAACGGCCATAAGTTGTTGGAGAGTAGGTTTAGATTAGACATCCGTAAGGACTACTTTATTGTCAGGGCAGCTAGGATCTGGAACCAACTTCCAAGGGAAGTGGTGCTGGCTCCTACCCTGGGGGTCTTTAAGAAGAGGCTTGATGCCTAACTGGTTGGAGTCATCTGAGCCCAGTTTTTCTCCTGCTCAGGCAGGGGTCCCTTCCGACCCAACTTCGAGGATTCTATGAATGTATTTATTTGGTTAAAATATGATCTTGTTTATGAATTTTTCATTTAGAATATGTTCTGGTCTAAGCTGATTTCCCGTGAAGTTGCAAAATATGTGAGTTTCTATATCAAAGGCATCCTCTTCCCTGTGAAAGGAAATATTTACATTCCAGTTAAATGCACAATATGCTGCCAGGTGACATGCTTTTGTAAATACTTAATTCTAAATCCCAGATCCACGTGCCTGAAGCCTTACAGTTCTCACTAGAATTGTAATTTGGGTTATCTCCATCATACTAGTAAGACGGTCATTGCCTTTGATCATGAGGAAAAGATTAGAAGAATGATTGTCACAGTTTTATCACCCTGGCTAACCTTGCGGACTCTATAGCAAGCCTCTCCCCCCCCAGCATAAAGCAAAATATTAGTTGTGGCAGGGAATTAATACACGGATGTGTGCACATATGTAATGGATTAATATATGTAAGGATCCACATACAAAGGTAACCAAATTTCTTAGAGACATATCCCAAAAACAAATTAAACAACATAATGGTTGACGTTTCAACATCTACTTTTTAGAAGCATGATTCCTGGAATGAAATCTAGAGTGCTGTGGGAGAAACCCAGGCATCCAGTGCATGAGGAGAATTTGGCTCCTCAAAACCATTAGCATGATCTTCAGGAAGACACATTGAGCAAGCTAATAGGGAAATACTGCAGAAAAGGTCTGGATGACCAAATTCAATTCTCCCCTCTGCTAGAGCAGATTCCACCTACCATTCCACTAGGAAGTACCCTAACCAGCAGGCTAAGTTGACTCAGGGTAAAGACTGTCCTCAGCATCTCCTTCTGAAGCTGTTCACTTATACAGAAAAGAATTCAAAATTTAGTCAGCCACAGAGAGCAACTGTGAGCATGACTGTAGCTTAGGAGTTAGGCCATTCTCCAAGGATTCACATTAAACAGTTAGTGGGCAAAATACAGAAATAGTCCTTAGAACCCAGGTATCCTCCATGCCAGGTGAGTGCCCTAATCACTAAGCTCCAGAGACATCCTCCCTTTGGGCACGTCCAAGGAGTGTGCATGTGACTCTTGCAGCATCTCTACCCACTTTGAGATGCTGCAAGAGGCACATATGGGAATACAAAAACATTCCCCATGCTGCAAACCTGCAGCACAGGGGCGAAATTAGAACCCTGGATATCCAGGGGTCCACAAATACCCCGGAGGAGAAAAGCAGGGGAGGGCATGGTCCGTGACCATGCCTTGAGACAACTGGAGGCTTAAACCTCCACAGAGCATCTCTATGGCTGGCCCTCACCCCAGTGCTGAAGTACACTGCTTGCCCGTGACGGGCAGGCAGCAGTGCAAGCTGCAGGGACCTGGACTTGGTTTTATGCCGGGTAAGTAGGGGGTTGGGGGCCTGGAGGAGGGAGGAGGGGATCATGGGGGGGCCCAGACCCCATTTGTTCCCCCCCACCCGCGCTCATTCTCTCGCTGGGCCCCAGTCCCCCCAAACTCACCGGCAGTAGCAGCAGTGGTTAGGGTCACTTGGGGCTTCATGGCACAGCCCCCCTGCATGGGCAGCAGTGGGGCTTAGCCCCAGCTGCCTGGCACTCATGCTGCCACATCGCACAGGTATGGCGCAGCTCAGCAGGTCACCTCACACTGTCTCAGAGAATTGGGCCACATGGGCTGAATGGTGCTAAGCTCCAGGAAAAAGCCGCAGTACCCCTAAGCTC